TTTCTTCAGGGACATATGGTGTCTTTTCCAGAGCAGATCACGAGTCACAAGTTAAGCCTTACTAGATTTTAAAAGATTTACACGAGGGCCTCCCCGGTGGTGCAGCAGTTGAGCGCTGGGTTGCGAGGCTGCCCGCAGCCTCTGCAGTGCCGGTTCGATCCCCGGCCACCGGCAAGGGTCCCACAAGGTGTGCAGACCTCTCCTGCTGCCCGCTGCTCCCCTCAGTAGTATACTTCATCACTCTGCCTGCTCTGCTCTCCCCTCTGGCTCTGGTGAATTCGCTCACCCTCCCGCGCTTCTGACTGTACCCCGTGCTTGTATAAGTAAATAAATAAATCTTTATTAAAAAAAAAATATATACACGAAAAGTTATCTTCCTGGGCCACAACAGAATGAAGCTAAAAATCAATAAAGTAAAGCTAGGAAAGTCTCAAAATTGCAGAACTTAAATGACAAACTTGTGTTTTTTTGTTTTACTAACACAACACATACAGTCCAACTACTCAAAGTTAAATTTTTAGTTTTTTAGTATCTATACATAGATTTGTATAGATAGATTTAGATAGAAATCTATAGATTTACATAGAATTCTACAGATTTACAGAGAATTATGTAACCATTATCCCAATTAATTTTAGAACATGTTCATCAACCCAAAGGAAACCCTATTCCCATTACCAGACACTCCCATTTGCCTCATTACTGCCCAGACCCAGTAGTAAGGATGAAGCAGTAACACAATCTACCTTTTTTTTTTAAATTGAGAGAATAATGGTTTGCAACTATATGTTTTAGAAGTACACAATCTCCTACTTCACGTGTTACCTCACACCTACCACAAAAATACCTACACTTCATCACCATAGTCCACTGTGCTCTCTCCCCAATCAGTTCTTATTTCTACTTCTGCTTCTCCAGCCACAGCAGCCTCAGTTCTACCACAAAATTTCTAGATTTGTAATTAGTTTGGCTTGATCTGACCCTTTGGTTGGTTCCCCTATATTCCACATGTAAGCAACACCATCCAGTATATGTCTTTTTCCTTTTAACTTATTTTGCTTAGCATAATCCCCTCCTGCTTCATCTTTGTTGTCATAAATGGCAAAAGTTTACCTTTTTGATAGCAAAGTAGTATTCCATGGTGTATATGTACCAGGTCTTCCTGATCCACTAGTCTGCATTTGGGGACCTAGTTATTTCCATAGCTTGACAACTGTAAACAGGGCTGAAATGAACATGGGAAGTATATGTTTCCCTTTGATTTAGTTTTTGTATTCTTTGGATAGATTCCTAGGAGTGGAACTGCTGGGTCAAATGGCAGATCCATTTTTTAATCTTTTGAAAACCTATCACACTTTTTCACAGGGGCTGAACTGTCTACATTCCCCCAACAATGTAAGTTTCTTTTCCTCCACATCCTTGCCAGCACTTGTTTCAGATCTTTTTGATATATGCCATTCCCATTAAGTGTGAGGTAGTATCTCATTGCGGCTGATTTGCATTTTCCTGACAGTAAGTGATTTTGAGCATTTTTTCATGTGCCTGATGGCCATGAATATGTCTCCTTTGGAGAAGTGTCTATTTAGCTCTCCTACCCATTGTTTGATTGGGTTATTTGTTTTCTTTTTGTTGAGGTGTATGAGTTCTTTGTAGACCTTGGATATCAGACCCTGGTCACATACATGTTGTATAAATATTTTTTTTTCTATTCATTAGGGTGTTTTTTGTTTTAGTGATGGTTACCCACTTACTCTGTAGAAGCTTTTAAATTCTGTGTAGTTCCAACTGTTAATAATCACTATTGTTTTCCTTACTATAAGGGACAAATCCACAAAGATATCTCTGAAGCCTATGTCATGGAATGTTTTGTCTACATATTTATGGTTTCAAAACTTCCATCTAAGTCTTTTATCCATTTGGAGTTGACTTTTGTGTATGGTGGGATATAGTGGTCCAGTTTCATTGTTTTGCATGTAGATATCCAGTTTTCCCAACACTATTTATTGAAGATTTCCTTGCTCCAATTTATATTCTTAGCTTCTTTGTTGTAAATTGACTGTTCATATTAGCGTGGGTTTCTCTGTTCTCAATCTACTCCATTGGTCTGTTTGTTTTTGCTCCAGAATTGTGGTATAGTTAGAAGTCCAGGAATATGATGGCACCATTCTGCCCCCACCTTTTTTGGGGGGGGGTGTCAGGATTCCTTTAGTTATTCAGGGTCTTTTGTGGTTCCATCTGATTTTCAGTAATGTTTGTTCTATTTCTTTAAAGAATATCATTGTAACTTTCATAGGGATTGTACTGAATCTATACATTGCTTTGGCTAAGAGGGCCATGTTTATAACATTAATTCTTACAATCCATGAGCAGGGATAATCTTTCCATCTTTGAGTCTTATATTCAACAATGTCTTACAATTCTCTTTGCATAGGTCCTTCACCTCCTTTGTTAAGTTTACTCTGAGGTATTTCTTTATATAATTGTAAATGGGACTTTTTCATGATTTTCTCTTCTACCTCACTGTTTTCATATATGAAGGTAACTGACTTTTGTGTATTGATTTTGTACAGTCACTGCTGAACTGATTGTTTCACTTAATTTTTTAGCAGTCTTTAAAGTTTTCTATGTATATTATCATGTCATCTGCAAATAATAATAGTTTTATTTCTTCTTTCCCAATTTGGATTCATTTTATATTGTTACCTTGCCTAACAGCTCTAGCTGGGGCTTCCAACACTACTGAATAACAATACGTTGAATAATAATGGTGAAAATGGACATTCTTTTTTGTACCAGATCTCAGTGGGAAAGCTTTCAGTTTTTCACTACTGAGAATGATGTTAGTTGTGAGTTTATCATATACAGCCTTTATTATGTTGAGGTATGTTTCATCTAGCATCAATTTTTTGAGGATTTTCATCATAAATGGATGTTGAATCTCATCAAATGTTTTCTCAGCATCTACTGATACGATCTTTTCCTTTACTGATGTGGTGAATTACATTGAGTTTCAGATGCTGAACCATCCTTTTGTCTGTGGAATAAATCCTAATTGTTAATGGTATATAATCCTTTGAATGTATGGATGAAATTCAATTTGCCAAGATTCTGTTAAGGAATTTGTTCCTTAAGAAAATTGGTTTGGAGAGAGAGAGATAGTGTGTGCGTGTGTGTGCATGTGTGTGTGTGTGTTGTCCTTGGTCTGGTTTTGGTAGTACAGTAATGTTAACCTTAAGAAAAGGATTTAAAGGTATTCCCTCCTTTTCAATTTTTTTGGAAAACTTTGAGGCTAGATATTAGTTCATATTTGAAGGTTTGTTAGAACTTACTTATGAAACTGTCCCTAGACTGTTTTGGGGAACAGATTTTTTTTATTACTTTCAATTTTGTTGTATGTAATTGGTCTGTTCAGTTTTCTATTTCTTCCCTGTTCAGTTTTTGCTGGTTTTAAGTTTCTGAAAATTTGTACATCTCCTCTAGGTCATTCAATTTATTGGTTTACAAACGTTCATAGTTCTGAGATATCATAATTTCTCGTTTCTGATCTTATTTTTCTCCTTTCCTTTTCATTGTAAGCATAACTACAGGTTTGTCTGTTTTGTTTATTTTTACAAAGAACCAGCTTTTGGTTTCTTAATCTTTTGAACTGTCTTTTTAATTTTATGTATTTCTCCTTGATTTTTGCCATTTCCTCCCTTCAACTGGCTTCTGGTTTTGTTTGCTTTCTTTTTCTAATTCCTTTAGCTGAGAGAGAAGATTACTTATTTGAGCTCCTCCTTGTATCTTGAGGAGGTCTGTATTGCTTTATACCTCCCTCTTAGTAATGCTTTTGCTGTGTCCCATAATTTCTGGAATGTTCTGTCTTATCATTGGTCTCAAGGTATTTTTTAATTATCTTCTTTGATTTTCTTATTAACTCAAAAGTCACAGTAGTATGTTGTTCAGCCCCCATATATTAAAGGTTTTTCCTGTTGTTGTTTGTATGTTTGTTTGTTTGTTTGTTTTTGTGGTTGATCTCCAGTCTGATACCATTGTGGCAGAAGATACTTGATATGGCTTCAATCTTCATGAATTTAATACTTGTGACCCAACATGTAGTCAATCCTTAAGAATGTCCCACATGTACTTAAGAAGAATGTATATTCAGCTTTTTGTGGTCATAGTGCTCTACACATGTCTACTAAGTCCATGAAGGTTATTGTGTCCTTACTTTTTTTCTGGCTGAAATATGCACTGGTGAAAGAGGGGGTACTGAAGTCCCCTGTCAAGAATGTATTTTTCTTAATGTCTGTTTTCAGATTAGATAGTAATTGCCTTATATCTTTTTCTGCCCCTTTGGTGGGTATACATTGTTTTGTCTTTTTTATGTATTGTTCCCTTAATCAATATATAGTGTTCATCCCTAGTGCTGTATCTTTTAGCTGGATATCTACTTTTTCTGATATAAAGTGGCTGTCCCCACCTACTTTTGGGTAAACCATTTGCTTGTAGGATTGTTTTTCCAACCCTTATTCTGTGTTTGTTGATCTTGGGGACTCATCTATGTTTCCTGGAGACAGCAGAAAGTTGGATTTTTTTTTCCCTAATCCAACCATTCTGTGCCTTTTAATCGCTGAGTTCATTCCATTTATATTTAGAGTGATTACATATGAAAGTCTGCTACTGTCATTTTGTCCTTAATTTTGTGGTTCTTTCTATTCGGTTCTTTGTGTATATTCAGTTCTTTGTGTATATTCTGTTCAATTTAGACACGAGAGTTCCTTCGAACATTTCTTGGAGGGGGTTATAGTCTTTGCAAATTCCTTCAGCTCTGTTTATCTGAGAAGGTCTTTTTTTCTCCATCATATCTGAAAGCAAGTCTTTCAGAATAGGGTATTCTCGGCTGTCTGTTTTTAATTCATTAACTATTTTGATCACATGATTCTATTATTCCCTTGCCCATAATGTTTCTTCAGGGAAGTCAGATGTAAACCTGAGCATAGCTCTTTTATAGGTTATCTAAAAATATGGAATGCTTCATTAATTTGCATGTCATCCTTGTGCAGGGGCCATGCTAATCTCTGTATCATTCAAATTTTAATATGTTTGTGGCAAAACTGAGCACAAAATATTAAAAAAAAAACTTATATGAGAAAAAGGAATATGATCTTGGATTCTTATTCCAACTCTACCTCTACCTAGAAGTGTGACCTGACTTCATTCAGTTTAGTGGTTTTCCAAATTGTGATCCCCAAAGAGTAGCAGTACCATCTGGGATCCTGTTGGAAATGTAGATTCCTGAGCTCCATCCCAAACTTATTGAATCTGAAACTCTAGCAATTGGGTCCAACAATTAAGCCTTTCAGGTGATTTGGAAGCATGCTGAAACACAAAAATCAATGTCTCTCCAGAACTTGATTTTACCCTTCTTGGCTGTATTAGATGATTTTAAATCCAACCATACTGAACAAAAGTACAGCCAACAAGTTTCTAAGTCCTTTATTTTCAAAGTAAATAAAAATATCAAGAGATTTAAGAATTCTACACCAACCTTCAATTGACTAGAATCTTATATACAGAAATCTAGGCTTATCAAAATGTTTCATTCTATTATTAGAAAACAAAAGGAAACAAAACACGGACATGCCAAGATTTATCAGTCCAAAAAAGTGAATTTTAGGGCACCAAAAATTTCCATTACATTCACTATGACACAGTAAAATGGTGTGAAACTAAAAACTCAACGATTCTGTCCAGGTTTGCACAAGAAACACTATCCCCATCACGCTCCCAGCAGCACAATGTCGTTATAGAATCTCCCTTATATATTCTTATCAGAGACTTAATAAGCAACTGGCCAAAAGCAGAAAGACCCAAGGTGGGTTAGATTCTTAACTAAAAATAGCAAAATTAGGGTTGATATAAAGCTGGGATGGTCCACTTCTGGTTGACAAAGTATTTCAGCAGAGAAAATTGTGCAAATATACAGAAACACGTAAATGCGAGCAATTATAAAGTTAAAAAAAAGGCAGTAAGAATAACCTTGCTGTAGTTGGCTTAATAGTACACCCATGAAATTCATGTCTACCTGGAACTTCACAATGTGACCTTATTTGGGAATAGGTTCTTTGCAAATTCTGGAGTAGACATAAACAGCAGAAAAGGCCATGCAAGACAAGTTAAGAAATGCAAGTAGTCATCACAAAGATGCAGAGGATTTGCATCTTTGAAAGAGGCAAAGGATTTTCCCATACAGCCTTCAGATGAGCATATGCAGCCCATTTAACACTAAAAGTCCTTGATTTTGGACTTTTAGCCTCTTGAACTGCAAGAATAATCTGCTGCTTCAAGTTATATGGTTTGCAGCCCTAATGAACTAACATACAGGGTGACTGATAATTGTATGCCCTGACCTTTAATTCCTCATTCATTCACTTACTTATACAACATATAGTATTACTACACATCTGGTACTGTTCCAGTGCTGGACATATATTGTTTAGTTAAACAGGGAAAAAAAAAAAAATCCCTGTTCTCAGGTGAATTTTATGGAATGCGACATATCTCAATGAATTTTTTTAAAAAATTAACCTACACAGAGTTTACAAGGTAGTGAGCTATCCTTGTATCCCTTCATAAATCCCATTTTGCTTAGTCATTAATTTTTCTATTCCTTGTAATTAAATAATCCTCAAGTCACACTCTATAATTCTAATAGCTCTTGATTACTGAAAAACTTGCAAACAAAAGGTCAGAAAATACACCCATAATACCAATTCAGTATAATTTTTCAATCTTCTCCTTATTTGACTTCTCAGTAAGATTAGAACTTAACTACTCCTCTCCTTCAAACTTTGTTTTCTAAGCTTTTACAATCCTTAGCCTAGAAAAATCTCACATAAACTAATCAATACAAATTACTAACTCCTGGCACATATGGGGAGGCAAGTTTCCACTTAACATTTTCTCCTTCCCTATTACCCTCAACTAGAACTGAGTTTTCTGTTATCACATTTGCCTGTGGTGTGGGGGGTTAGAAGGGGAGGTTCAAGCATATGGGGCACCTGGAGTTGGAGAATCAGTGCAAACTCAAGATTTTTAATATATATAAAAACTGACAAAGCGATGTATATACAGGTGTGTGTGTGTGTGTATACACATTAATACATTACTAACTATGCCCAATAAAAGAGTCTAGAAGTAATGATGCTGATAATGAGCACACATAAGCACATAGATCTTGGTTCCTAATAAACAATTCTAAAGGAATCAGGGTTTGTGGAAAACTTAAGTCCAGGACTGAAGAAGAAAAAATCTGCAATGATCATGGAAAACATCTTGTACCAGAAAACAAAGAAGTACTCAAGGAATAATGACTACATGTCTTAAAGACTTAAAAATCAATCCACTTGGCTTGTAATGGCCAAGTTTAGGATGACATGAGCATCAAAATAATGGCTGATTTAAGATAAGACTAACCCCTGTTTCAGTCTAAGAGCTAAAGAATCTGTTAAAGTTTAAAAATGAATAAGTGAATACATGCATACATAATAAACAAGAAAAAAAGGGAAAACTATACCTCACCATTGTCTGTCAATGAGTAAACCTACAATTAATTCTTAAAAGATCACTGTTTAGCAACTATCACACCAAGTTTCAGGAAAAAAATCACTTATGGATGCTAAATTCAATGGTGAAAATGTGGTCAGAAATAGATATTTCACAGTATTGAAAATATTGTAAAATATTTTGAAATACAATATACTTAATAATCTTGTAAGAAGACTCTAAAGACCCTGTCTTAACCTAGTGATAAAATGCAGCATCACTAGCAAGACACCAAAGTCAACATACTATGCCTTACACTATAGATGGAGATAATAAGCACAGTTATAAATCTGTGGTGTTCCTGCCAAAAAGGTTTCATTCAGAAGGAGAAATAATGTAAATCCAAACTGAAGGACATTCTACAAAGTAATAGGTCTGTGTCAAAGTCATGAAAAGAAGACTATTTAAGGCTGAAGGACACTGAAGAGGCAAGATAACTAAGTACATTACATAACTGTAGATTTGGATCCTGGGCCCATAAAGGAAATTATTGGGTCTCACCAAGGAAATGTGAATGGGGTTGGTAGATGTAATGGTAGTACTGGATCAACATTACCTTCACAGCACTATGAAACTATCTGCAGCCAGTGTAGCAACAGTTAAATCCCGGCCAAGGAGTTGACCCACATGGCGCAGCAGACCTGTCCTGTCTTGCCCACTGCTCCCCTCAGCAGTGTGTTTTGGTCAGTCTGCCTGTTCTGCTCCCCACTCTGTCTCTGGTGAATCCTCTCACTCCCCCACACCTCTGGCCTGTACCCCAGTTCTTGTATGTGTAAATAAATAAATCCTAAAAAAAAAAAAATTACCTTCTTGACTAATGGCTTCATACTGTGATTATGTAGGCGTGTCCTTGTACAAACAGATTATTACAGCAATGAAGCATAATATGTCCATAGGTAATTATCAAATGTTTCAGAAATGTTAATAATTGGGTCATCTGGGTCAAGAGTATAAAGTTTAAAATAGTATTTCTGTAACTTTTAAGCAAATTTGAAGTTATTTTCAAAAGGCTTCAAATTTTTAAAATAATGACAGAATAAAACCCACTAAATAAGTCTGAACCCACACTAATAGAGAGATGAAAACTGATAAAAAGAATGACAGAAAACCACATCACAGTAATCAAGAATCAATGGATGATGTGATGTTTGATGCGCACTTTGAATAGTCTCAAAGTATTACCCAACAGCTTTTTAACTACAAAGGGTAAACAACTATTGTAGAGAAACCTAGAAGACATCACCTTAATCAAGTGAACCAAGTTAGTATCAATCTGGGACAAAGGACATCATTTTTCCTAATGTGAACCAATAACTAAGACATATAACCTACATGGTACTCATTAAAAATGTATAAACTGAATCTGATCATGAGGAAATGTCAAATAAACCTAAATTGAGGTACTATCGGATCTCTGCAAAGATGTCAGAAAATAAAGAAAAGCTAAGTAAGGAACTGTTTCAGATTAGAAAAGATTAAATGCAATGTGTAACTGGGAACTGGACTGGGGGAGATGGAGGAAGGTGCAGGATGGGATGAGGGGGAAGGGATGATGATTACTAAAAGAACTTTACTGGGACAACCTATAAAGTTTGAGTATGTAGTATATTAATTAGGTAATATCAAGTAAGTGCTACATTTCCTGAATTTGATAACAGGTATGTGGTTACATAAAAAATTCTACTGTACTTAGGAAAGAAATACTATAGTGTTTGGAAACAAAGAATCATGATATTACGCCTCCCCTGTGGCCCAGCAGTTGAGCGCTGGGCTGCGAAGCTGCCCGCAGCCTCTGCAGCGCCAGTTGGATCCGCTGGTCTAGGGTCCCACATGGCACACAGACCTCTCCTTCCGCCCATTGCTCCCCTCAGCAGTGTACTTTGTCTGACTGTTCTGTTCTCCGCTCTGGCTCTGGTGAACTCTCTCACCCTCCCACGCTTCTGACTGTACCCAGTGCTTGTATAAATAAATAAATAAATCTTAAAAAAAAAAAGTTTAAAAAAAAAATCATGATATCTGCAATTTACTCAAAATTGTTTAGCAAATACAGTAATATATTCAATAAACAGAGAGAAAAGAGATTGAGGAATCTGTATTATTATTCATACAATTCTATGACTTTGAAAACATTTCAAATAGAATATTTTTTAACATGCTATAAAAAATAGGTATATCTGGGTTGTAGGAGTTCAACTGGTTTTTCATTCTCTTCTCAATTATATTTGCATCTTGAAGTTTCAACAAAACATTTTCATAAACATAAGTCATTTTTATGTTGGAAGAACTGTGATCTCATGCAATATGACTTAAAAGGTATTTAATTCTTTGAATATGAGTTTCACAGTATTGTACATATTAGGAATAATAACATTTTGGTGGTCAGATTTGTTTCCTTACAGTAGAAGTTTTCAGAGTTTTAAACACGCTATAAATCTTCAAGAGGAAAATATGTCATATATTTCCTAGACACTAAAATAAAATATAAGAGGCACAACTAGAAAAAAGGCTTTTAATGAAGTAAAAAAAAAAAAATTGCCACCATAATACACATGCAGTACGAATAGTAGCAATCATAGAAATAGACATGTGAAGGAAACATTAGAATTAAGAAAATGTGGAATTTACAGGGTCTCCCAATCTTGGTAAGCCACAAAACATTTTTTTCATGAGGAATCTAAAAAAACACAGACTGCAAGACCACACAGCACACCTTGGCTGGTTCTGCAAAACGAACTTTAACAAGAAAAGAGCAGAAGCTGCCAATTTATTTCTCCATTGTCCTCCAAAGTAACCTGACAAAGGTACTTTAACTAGTTCTCCAAAAGTACTTTAAACATTAAATTGCCATTTGTCATATTGGTTGGTTCTGAATTTCATCACATATTTATGGAATTAATCTAGAGTCAACTTTTCTTTAGTGCTCACTCAGAAAGTATTTTTAAAACTGGAGACTAGTTTTTTACTAGTCAAACTGTCTTAGTCAAAATGTCATGGAAGTCAATATTTCAAATCTCACACTGTTCATTTCATTCATCATTTTTGCTCTTACTTTCAGTGTATGGATTCCGGCTAAGTTGGGTTCACAAATAAGCTTCCTACACTGAAGTTTTTTTATCTTGAACTAATTCTTTAGGCATAGCTCTCTTTATCAGGAAAGTTGAAAAATAGCCAAGTTCCTCCCCAGCTCTTAGCAGCAAGAGGGGGTTGCTTATAAAATAGAGCTTCTTTAAACCTGTTTAGCAAAATAAACAAATAGCAAAATAGATGTGTCATTTTCATAGATTACCTGACTGCCAGAAAGAGTTCTAAAACATTTTCTGACTTCACACATGGTATGTGTCATGTGCCTGTCTTTAGTATCATGAAATATAAGGGATTACTTTGACGAATTAATCTAAACTAACACCTATTTAAAAGATTTGATAATTTCTTGACTAATCATCTTCAGTTTCTCCCAATTTTGCAATTCTGTAACAACATTCACATTTTATCTAAAAAGCCTGAGTGAAAGATAAATCCATATATCTAAAGTCAGCACAACAAAATGATAAGCCTCCTAATAAATCTTTTCATGGCCTCCCCTGCCCTTTAACTGATTTTTTTCCCCTTAAGAGAACAGCTAATCTCTCAAGTACTGTTTTATATACATCACATTGCTATTATTCCCCTTATTAACATCAAATAGTTCCTCAAAACCTGTTCTGAAATTTTAACTCCTCTGGAGAGCTCAATTGCACTGTCTCCACAAACATTCCACCCATCTCTGGTATCCAGTACCCACTGCAACTCAAGGAGGAGTTTGCAATTTTAATGTTCCAGAAACAGGAGTTGAAAATGGGTAAAATTCAAGATGATGAGAGAAATTCGAGTGCTTTTCAAAAAAATAAAAGACTACCTTATTTCTGGACTTTTCAGAAATACTACTAGCACCATTTTTAATATAATACAATACAAGCATTCATAAATATTAAACCTTTGATTACTTGCATAGAGTTGCAGCCCTATTTCATTACTGTAACTAAACACACTACTTACCCTGTATCTCCCAGTCCATGAAGAAAAATCACCTGTAAGATAAGAGGAAAAATTAATAAAAGGTAACTGAATTAACCCACCCAGAATTGTCAAACTTGTATCTTTGCCAAAGTAGATACCAGAATTACACAACACTACCTTCAAGTTAATCGCTATGGACCTCTCTTTAAAGACAAAACTACTTCTCTCCTTGTAGTTCCTAAGATAATTAATGTGGGGTTTTAGCACTGGAAGTCCTAGTTACACATTCTTAAGAAGTGGCAAAGATCACATTCTAAGAAAAAGTTTGTCTCAACGAAAACCATGAAAATCACATATATAGCGCACATTTTCTCATTACAAAAAGGAGTTTTCGCGGGCAAAAATAAGCTTGCGATATTCATACACAAGTTTCCTGAAAAATGGCATCCCTGATCTTACAGACATTAAATATTCAAATTACTTTCACTGAGGACAAGAGTGCAAGACATGAAAATAAAGTGATTTTCTTGGGGGCTTAAGAGGTCTCCCATTCTCAAGGCAAAAACATGCTACAGGGTCACCGCGAGTCGGGGAGCGTCTCCACGGACGCGGTGACCCGGTAGGCAGGGGTCACAGTGGGTCCCGGGGGGGCCCGCGGCCGCAATCGCTCCGCAATGCAGAAGCTCCGGGCGGAGGGTGGGGCGAGGGCACTGACCCTTCGGCCCAGATCCCAGCGCTGTCCGGCCGGGGCGGCGCCGACACCACACCTCCCCGCAGCCCACCCCCGCCAGGGCGCCGCGCCCCGCCCCTCGGGGGCCAAACGGCCTGCGGAGCCCACCCCGCACGGGAGCGGACCCCGCGGCGGGCCGAGCGGCCCCTCCGAGCCCCGGACGCCGACGCTCACCGCAGCTGTGGCCTTCCTGGCGGCGGGCACGACGGCGGGCAGCGGGGCCGACATGTTATTGCCGCACATACACCGGCTGGTACGCGGCGCGCGTCGGAAGCGGAAGGGAGAGAGGGCGCCCGGCCACGGCCCAAGGGCGTGCGAGCGGAGAGTCCCGACTCGCCCCCGCGGGCGCGTGCGCGCCAACGCGGCGCCGCGCCGCCCTCCGTCGACTTCGCGCGCCCGCCTCGTTCCCAGCCGTTCCCCTCCCGCCGCGCGTCACAAAGTCCCGCTCCGCGGTCGGCGGGATTGGCTGCGGCGCCGCCGCGACCCTGGCCGACCTGCTCTGCCCGGCCCCCTCGGATCTCCGCGGGGCGGCCCGCGGCGCTCCTTCCCTCCGGGTGTCCGGGCCGCCCTGGGGACGGCGCTCTCAGGCCCGGGCCGGCCGCGGAGTCCCCAGAGCCTGGCCTGATGTTCCTCTCTCTAGTCACCTTAGGGAAAAGAAATAGCCCCAGAGCCACTCCCGCGAGGCCCGGGTACTTTGTTTCCTCCGTGTGGGTCACACATTTGTAAAAGTCAAACGATTGGTCTGAGAAGACCAGTGTTGTGTTTCCGCTGGGGACTAAGCGAGTGTGCAGATTTGTGGTTAACTCCCCGTCTTTGAACTTTAGCCCAAAAGGCAAATGTTCTATTGTCCCTGTGAGTCAACCAACTACTTCCCTCAACTGACCCATATACTATTTTATTGACAGATGTTGACTGAGTAGTGTAGTGATTCAAGCATGACCCTAGTCTGCCCCTTTCCTGGGCTTATCAAAAACTTGGTAGGCTCTGGAAGGAGGCAAGGAATACAAAACTTAGAGGCAAATGCCGTGACCTTCAGAAGTTTACAATTCCGTGGAGAATCTTAGAAATATATACAATCATGAGAGGAAGTGGGTTCACAAAACTTATGGGCTGGTGAACAGGAGGATCTGGGAGAGATGGCAAGCCTGGAGAGGGAATAAAACTTTGTGCCTTTTCCCCATACCTTGCTCTATGTACCTCTTCCACCTGACTGTTGATTTGTATATATTTTTTTAAGATTTATTTCTTTACGCATACAAGAGCTGGGGTACAGGCCAAAGATGCGGGGCTTGAGAGGATTCACCAGAGACAGAGCGGGGAGCAGAACACGCGAGCAGAGAGGGATGAAATACACTGCTGAGGGGAGCAGCAGGCCAGCAGAGGTCTGCTGCGCCAGGTGGGTTGCTCCCTGGCCAGGGATCAAACTCTTGCTGCAGAAGTTGTGGATTGCTTCATAATGCAGTGATTAACCTCTTGCGCCACCAGGGAGGCCCTGATTTGTATACTTTATAATAAATCAGTGACAAGTGAGAAACAGGGAATATATATATGTAGGATGTTCGATGTAATATAGGGCGGGAAGCTAAAGAACAAAAGGCTTAAAAAATAAAACTCCACTTTAATTCATATGCAGAATACTGAAAGATTGGGGTGGGGTCTTATTCATAGAACTTTTTACCATTCTTGGATTTAAATGCTGAAAATGTTAATAATGTTTCTCAAAAATGATAAAGTGAAGCTGATTTACTGAAAATTATGATGATGTGACTGACATTTTTAGTAGCAGTATACATTTATATCAGGCGTTTACACTGTGATGGTAATAGAGAAAATAAAATTATCTCTAGTTCCTACCGCATGTTTTAAGTGAGAAATACATGAACTTTCCTATGACTGGAATATGTAGAGTTCTGGGGGATACCTATTGTTTCTATTAATTTCCACTAGTGGGAGGTAGGAAGTGCTATTTGATGTATTGCAACCACCCTCCTGTTTTTCTCAACCCAAGTACTACTATTTTTCCAAAGTTCACCAGAGCACTACATCCTCAAAGGAGCCTTATTCTAGTTAATTCCTCTTTCTCTTCTCCAGCAAAGGAATGAAATAAATATAGTAATTGAAATGTGACAAAATTAATTGTTATGGGGAGAAGATCAGGGTAATGCTGGAGACACAGGGATGAAAGAATTCACCAGACAGAGTGGAGAACAGAACAAGTGGAATATTGAAATACAATGCAAAGAAAAGCAGTGGGTGCGACGCAAGAAGTCTGTGCTAGAAGGAGAATTTGAGACTCTCTTTTATACTCTATTTTCTCAGGTTTTCTAATTTGGGGCACCAGTTACTTCCTGGGATGTCTGGTCTCTGCCTTTGACACAAAAATGTGTTCTGACCTCTGCTTCTGCATTCCTGGAGCTGTTTTTTCTGGTCATGGTGGTCAGTTTTTTGGCTTGTTCCCAAGACAGTCTTATCCATTCCCTAATCTATTCCAGCCTCTCAAATCTGCCTGCTGGGTCAGGAGAGGGGGCTTAGTTATTAACTTACTCAGTTGTACCCCAACAATTATTTTCAGATGATTGCACAAGGGAAATTAAAAAAATCTTAAAAATTGCTAACCAGGGGAGTCCAGCAAAATGGTGGATAAATGCACTCACCGCCTCCTCATGTTTATAACCAAATTACACCTAAACAAAGCACAGTGACTCCAAGTGATAAACAGATTAGTATTATATGCATCAAGAGGGACAGAATGTGGAAAGGGACAGGAAAACTGTAATTCAGTTGTGTTCAGAGTGATAACAGGCAGTTCAACCCCCAAAAAAGGAGAGGCAGCTGCTATATGGAGCCTCTTTGCTATTGTTGACTGAAAGATTCATGCCCACACTGGGGACTTTAGAACCTAGGGTCTATACTTGAGAAGGGAGTATACAGATGTAGTACATGGGATGGAGGGTGTACCACAGCAGAATTATAGTAGAATGCTAAATTAGTAGATAGATGCCTGTAATCACATAGCAGCAAGCCAGGCACTCTGAGCAGGGAAGTTAAATGCCCTCCACCCCTAAAGTGGGAAGTCTGAGTGGATAATCTTAGTGATTGTTAGTGTGGTGGTGTCTGTGTGAGCTGGAGATTGTCACCTTGTGTTGAGACTCCTAAAAAAGAATAGCTGGAGTCTGCACTGAAGAGGGCTACATCAGGTCATGTCCCTTACATAATAGACTATCATCTGTAACCTGCACCTGTGTTGTGTAAAACATCTGCTTTATATCCAGGGTCAAAGCCGAGGTAACAACAAAATGTTATATTGCCATTAACCAGAGTTCAAAAACCTAACAAATCTCCACACTTGAAAGGAGAAGTAAAGAAATCACAGCCTGTGACCCTGTCTCAACCATAATGCCCTCCCGGTTACCTCTACTGCTCAACCACAACTCAGTGGTTGAGGCTGGCATGAGATTGTTCAGGATGTTTTGGCTTAGGAGTTGACTGATGGAAGAGAAACAATATGGCTTCCTACCCTCCAGTGGCATCTTAAAAAGCATCAATCCTTAGCACTCATTGGAGGTAACAGTTTGGTGCCTTCCTGCCCCAGTTCCTATCTACTACCCCTATTGCTAGTAGTGCCCCATCATATGAACAGGTATGGAGGGTTCAGTGTACAAAACGACAAACACCTAAGGATCCTAGGTTAAAAAAAAACAAACAAACTAGGAATATACCCAGATGCCTGTGGGCATGGTATAAAGCTAACTTATCAAGACCATAAGAAGCAGCTCTTTATCTCCACACAAACTACAAATGAGGAAACAGAAGAAAATCCTACAAATGCTGTAACAAAAACACCACAAAGGAAGTTTTAATACTGCAGAAATACAGATTCTGCCTTGAGGAAAAAGTTATAACGATGCTTGACAAAATAAGAACAAAGAAACAACAAAAGCAAAAATACAAATAAAGATAGAGAAAATATGAGATTGATACAAGTAGAGTTAATGGATCTGAAGAATATTATAAGTGGTTGAAAAATACATTAGAGGGCCTCAATAGTTGACAAAAACAAGTAACAAATAGAATCAGCAAAATTGAATGCCTGTAGTGGAAAACACCCATATAGAACTGTAAAAAAAAAAAAATAGTAAACGAAAATTAAAACAGTGTAAGATCTCCCTAGGATAATTTAAAGAGAAATAATAGATGTATCATGAGGATCCCAAGGGAGACAAGGAAGAGAAAGGCATAGGAAATTTTTAAAGAAGTGAAGCCTAGAAACTCCCTAATCTGGGAAAGGAACCAGCAATCCTAACATAAGAGTTCCAAATTAATACCAAACAGACACACCTCAAGATACTATAATCAATCTGTTGAAAACTAACAAGGAAAAATTACTGAAATAATTGAGAGAGGGAAAAGTTACCTACAAGGGAAAGTCTATTAGACTCCGAATGTCTCAGTGGAAACCTTGCACACAAGAAGGCAATGGCAGTAAATATTTAAAGCCTCAAAAAAAAAAGATTTCCAACCTAAAATATTTTATCCCTCCAACTAATAGTCAAGAAAGAATGAGGGGGAAGATGCTTCACAGAAAAATAAAAACTAAAAGAACATATCAACACCAAAGTCAGACTTGAAAGAATTAGTAAAGGTACTATTATAAAACGACGACAAAATTCATCCTATTTAGACAACTGACTTACACAACATGGCTCAAAAGAAGAGTAAAGATGTGGACCATTAGAATGAGTTTGAGTCAAGCTATTTAACAGGTCACAAGTCAAAAATCAGTACAAGGAAACACATAAGACAATGAAAATGGGTCCAAACAAAATATAAAAGAAAGATATCAAAAAACAAAAAGACAAAACAGGCTAAAAAAAAATACAAAAAAGAAAACTGGTGATAAGCATTTATGTCTCTATAATCACCTTAAATACAAATGGCTTGAATTCACCACTTAAAAGGTAGAGAGTGGCTGAATAGATTATAAAACAAAGGCCAACCTTCTATAGTTTCTGAGAAATTCATCTTTATGACCACAGACAGCAACAGACTTAAAGGCTGGAAAACAATGCTGCAAAGAAGTGGTAATCAAAAAAGTTAAGACAGGATCTCCCCCCGTGGCGCAGCCATTGAGCCCTGGGCTGCAAAGCTGCCCGCAGCCTCTGCTGCGCCTGTTCTATCCCCGGCCCTTGTGCAGACTTCTCCTGCCACGCCTGCTGCTCCCCTCAGCAGTGTATTTCATCGGTCTGTCTGTTCTGTTCCCCGCTCTGGCTCTGGTGAATTCTCTCACCCTCCCATGCTTCTGACTATACCCCGGTTCTTATATAAAT